CCACCTCCCTGCACAGCCCGTTCCAACCCTTGACGACCCTTGTGGTGAATAAATTTTTCCCAATATCCAGGGAAAAGATGTTGAGGATCATCAAGTCCAACCATAAACCCAACATTGACAATTCCAGCTTGAAAACAAATCCCTGAGCACCTTGTGTGTTAAATCCCACCAGGGAAGATGACTCCACCACCTCCCTGCACAGCCCGTTCCAACCCTTGACGACCCTTGTGGTGAATAAATTTTTCCCAATATCCAGAGAAAAGATGTTGAGGATCATCAAATCCAACCATAAACCCAACACTGATAATTCCACCTTGAAAACAAATCCCTGAGCACCTTGTGTGTTAAATCCCACCAGAGATGGTGACTCCACCACCTCCCTGGGGAGCCTGTTCCAATGCTTGATAAACCTTTTGGTGAACAAATTTTTCCTGATATCCAGACGGGGACACGGGCTGCGGGCGGTACCTTTGGCAGAGCCGCCGGTGCCGGGCGCGGTGGCGGGCAGGACGGTGGCACCACGAAAAGCCCTTTCCAGGTGGTTGTGCTGCTTGGCCAGTTGTTCCAACGTCTCCTCCAGTCGGATCCGTTGGTCCCGTTCGTGTTGTAAAGATTTCTGCCATTTCTTGCTGTGGGTTTGAGCCAGTAACAAAAAATCCCGACAGGCCTGTGGGGAGATGGAGCAGCGTCAGTCCACGGTGTGTGTGTGGGGTGGGGGTTCAACCCCCCTGGCCTGCTCTGCTCTATGGGGTGTGGGGTGCAAATCAACTCAGAGTGGTTGGGAAAGATGTTGAGGATCATCAAATCCAACCATAAACCCAACACTGATAATTCCAGCTTGAAAACAAGTCCCTGAGCACCTCATGTGCCCGTCTGTTCAATCCCACTGGGGATGGTGACTCCATCACCTCCCTGGGGACCTTACTCCAACACTTGATGACCCTTTTGGTGAATAAAATTTTCCCAATATCCAAGGAAAAGATGTTGAGGATCATCAAGTCCAACCATAAACCCAACACTGATAATTCCACCTCAAAAACAAGTCCCTGAGCACCTCATCTGTTAAATCCCACTGGGGATGGTGACTCCACCACCTCCTTGCACAGCTTGTTCCAACCCTTGACAACCCTTTTGGTGAATAAATTTTTCCCAATATCCAAGGAAAAGATCTTGAGGATCATCAAGTCCAACCATAAACCCAACACTGATAATTCCACCTCGAAAACAAATCCCTGAGCACCTTGTGTGTTAAATCCCACCAGGGAAGATGACTCCACCACCTCCCTGTTGACCTTGTTCCAACACTTGACAACCCTTTTGGTGATTAAATTCCTCCCAATATCCATAGAAAAACCTCCCAGTATCCAGGGAGGGGTTGGGACCCTCCCCCTGGAGCACCCCGAGGCTGTTTCCCGGGGACTCACGTTGATCATGGCGTTGGAAGTGATGCGGAAGAGGGTGGCTCGTTCGTTGACTTGCTTGATCTTGTCGGTGCTGTCGGGCGGCAGGCGCAGGGTCTCCAGCTCGCTGAGGGAGCGCTGCAGGGCCGTGCCGTGCTTGGCAATCAGGTCGTTGCAGGTGCTCAGATCCTCCACTTTGCTGGACAAGGTACGTAACGTGCTCTGCAGCTCCGTCTTGTCCGTCTGCGACACCGACTCGTCACCCGAGTCATCTACCAGCGGGGGAGGGAGGTTAAAGGGGGTTATTTCCACTCAGGAAATGG